AGGATAAGACATTTTCCATTTAAAATCTTCCTGCCATATTTCAGTTTCAATCTCCATATCTACTCAGCTCATATTCTTGAAGGAAAGCATGAATGTCTGACAAATTTCATTCCATGATATTATATGAACCTATACGTCTGAGGTTCTGTCAAACGGCAGCTGAAATCTATTCCAGCATGTTATGCAGCAGGTAGGACCATGATGCATTTTGTAATATACAGGTTTGTGGACTACATCCAAAACTTTGCAGCCTAGGTCTTTACCCTATTAGTTTAAAATGCAATCATTACTAACCTAGTGTGCACAAATTAGGCTTTCAAAGAGAGAACATGTTAATTAAATTGGATCTAAAAATAGTTGTGTTGGTAAGGAATTTGTGGCATGTAGGATTTTACGTGACCTAGAAAAGGAGGATCAAAAGAATGTTGTTCATGGATTCAAAGTGTTCAATATTTCAAGGTGGAATAATGCCGTCTTGAAAGTCGAGTTTTGTGGTGGCAGACTAAATCTGTGCAGCATCGAAAAGAGTGTCATTGTGGCGTCGCACTGCTGTCATACTGCTGCTGCTGCCATTAAACTATATGTAGATTTGTTTTTACCGCCATGAGAAACAGGCACGAAGGGTAAAAATCACAAATGTGAGATGTGTGCCTCCCATTTTTATTTCCTACAGCTACCATATTATTATTTCATGATGTGATCTTTTTAATAAGAAGTTTTGCTCATTTAATTTGAAATGTCACATTTTTTCACTCTCTGCCCTCATCTTGCACTGATTCTTGAGACAATCAGTAGAACAAATCAGGCTACAGAAGAGAAACTATGACGGAAATGATTTAAAACTGTTTCTTTAGAGACTAATGAAACATTTGTGTCTCCTTGCGGTCACAAATTTTTCCCTTAAAACTCATCTTTGATAATCAAAATGACATATTTGAAAAAATTTTCCTGGCTTCAAAATAACTCCACACCCTTATCTCGTTAAGTCTATGAGGAACCATGAATATGCAAATTAGTCCCCGCCTTTATACCATTTGGCTCCACTTTCAATCAGTTAACTGAAGTAGTAAGTGCTACACAATGGCAAGTGGCAATATTGGATTAATTCAGCCAAATATCTCTGAACCAGAAACAGATTACAGATTAAAGTAAAAATACTGATATTTTCAAAACTAAACTAAAATTATGGCATGTTTTGCCTCAAGAATCGGCACTGGATCAAATTAAATGTTACGTCAGTTTAAACTGGCTCAGATTGAACAGAGGCTCTAGTTTCTTTCTATGTCCATATCATACAACATAATTATGCATTATGCTACATTAAGCACTGCAGCTCCTTCAAATGAACTGTAGCTATCGGAAGGCTCTCTAATTATAAAGAATAGTGCTCGTTTTGACCTAGAAACCTCACCAATAACACACAGACAGAGCTTAACATGGGCACATTTCCAATTAAGAAAGCAGCAGGGTAAATCAACTATTTATTACATTACATTGTGGGATACATTTGCTGATTATATATATAAAAATAAGCTCTGTTCAAAAACAAATCTCCACTGCTTCTATAGAGCACCAAGGCATTGTCCTCTTACCCTAAACTCTTTCCCATTACCTATTTAGTGAGCGTCCATGATCAGAGACCAGGCTTGGAAGGAGAAATGACCTCAAACCTCATAATCTAGCACAATAATCAGGACAAAAGATGGCCCTGGTCTTATTGATTCATTTTTATTCATTTAATATGAATGGATGGAATAGCCCATGTTATATACGTGTATTTATACCTTTAAACAAGGAGTCATGACCATTGGTATAGCAAATCTCAGACAGTCACATTTCATCGTAATTTTAAAAGAAAATGGAAAATAAATCACATTTTGCATTAAGCAAATGAAGTCTGTTTTAGGACCATTAAGGTTTGTTTTTTTTTCATGGTGACATTATGTTCATGGGAATTAAGCACATTTCCCTCAAAATTCTCATTACAATAATGTGCCTGGATGTTTTACTTTTGAGGGTTTTTTTTGTAATTATCATTATTCTCAGCTGTGATTCATTACTGTAATATGGTAATATAGCGTTTACTTTTTTACTGTATAAATACATATTGCATTGACAAATATACACTGATATGTAAATTTGCATTATTCGTCCTTAATTAGATCTTTTTTGAGATGAGAACTGCCAGAAAATAATGCCTTACCTTAATCATGAAATAAACCAAAAATAAATAAATAAATATTTAAAAATTATTAAATAAAATAATTTGTTACTTCTTGGAATATGAGCTGGACATGTTCTTGACAACTCGCATGAGATTTCCCTGTTTACAGGCATGATTTGTCATTTAATCACTATTACATATATATATATATATATATATATATAACTTCTCTTCTGCAGTTTCTCTCTGTACACTACAGTATGTCTAACACAACTATCGCTTGTCTCCATGATTCATCAGAAGCTAATTAAAATACAATCACCTTAGAAACAAACTTCAAAAGCTCGAACAGCTCAACCCGAGCCTCGTTTCCAGATCTCAAGCATTTCCTTTTTGAACCTCCTTTGCTCCCACAGGTTATCAATGCGTCTTTTGATTGTTGCCTCGGAAGGTGCTTCATTTATATTCCTCAGTAAAAGAGGGGCCCCCGCAGATGGTTCAGAGTAGCCCGCGTACACTGATCTACAGTCAGCTTCCCCAACAAAAATCCCTATTATAGCCATTACAAGAAAGACAAACAAATTCACAAATTTCTTTCCTTTAAAGGACAACTTGGATCCAGCACTGCATGGATATCAGGGTCTGCAGGGAAGAGACAGGGTCAGTGCCATTATAGTTAGGCTATGCTTCTTCCTAGTAAAAAGCCAAACCCTGATGTTCTTCTTAACTCTCAAATGGCAGTCCTGACCTACTTAACACAAAAACGGCCTCATACAAACTTGATGATGTGCTTGTAGTAAGTCATATGATTAGTTTCAAAAGCTATTGCAAGAACATTACAAAACACTTGTGTTCTCTTTTGAATAAAACTGAAAAGCATTTCATATGTATATATAACTTCTCTTCTGCAGTTTCTCTCTGTACACTACAGTATGTCTAACACAACTATCGCTTGTCTCCATGATTCATCAGAAGCTAATTAAAATACAATCACCTTAGAAACAAACTTCAAAAGCTCGAACAGCTCAACCCGAGCCTCGTTTCCAGATCTCAAGCATTTCCTTTTTGAACCTCCTTTGCTCCCACAGGTTATCAATGCGTCTTTTGATTGTTGCCTCGGAAGGTGCTTCATTTATATTCCTCAGTAAAAGAGGGGCCCCCGCAGATGGTTCAGAGTAGCCCGCGTACACTGATCTACAGTCAGCTTCCCCAACAAAAATCCCTATTATAGCCATTACAAGAAAGACAAACAAATTTGAGCACAAATTTCCTTTAAAGGACAACTTCCACCAGCACTGCATGGACATCAGGGGCTGCAGAAAAGAGACAGGGACAGTGCCATTATAGTTACGCTTCTTCACAGTAAAGAGCCAAACCCTGACGTTCTCCTTAATTCTCAAATGGCAGTCCTCACCTACTTAACACAAAAACGGCCTCATACAAACTTGATGATGTGCTTGTAGTAAGTCATATGATTAGTTTAAAAAGCTATTGCAAGAACATTACAAAACACTTGTGTTCTCTTTTGAATAAAACTGAAAAGCATTTCATATGCATCGCAATAAAAGATACATAAACTTCAGTCATTTATACTTGAAGAATGCTTGATTTAATTGCAATAGAAATATGTTGATTATAATCAGCTATATATACTACTATTTAGTACCAGACTAAACTCAACCTCAGTGAAAAAAAAAAAAATTTGTTCAAAGATACATTAGATAACTTCAATTTTTGATTGAGATTTTGATTCAAAGACACATTAGTTAACTTAGAGAAATAGACACTAAATACATCCATTTAGCCTCAGACCAGACTTAACTGAACTTCAAACTAAAAGATTTTGGTTCTAAAAGCTTCAGTGAGGAAGACAAACCAGTTCTTACACAGAATTTCACACACAAAGAACAGACACTTTGCCTGAAAAACTGAAACTTTGACAGATCCCCTCCATTTTCTGAGCCAGCAACTAAATAAATCATGTGTTCACTGAAATAACACTGTCATGCAGCATGGTATACAGCCAGTCATGAAATGAACAAACAGACAGACAGAAAGATAGAGTGACAGCAAGAAAAACAGATAGATATCTCTCGTATTTTATATGAATATGTAAGTTTTATAACAGATCAAGACTGTAAATTTAATCACCCATGCAGTTTGTAGGAGCTGTCCAGAGTGCTGAATGAAAGAAATCTCTGTAACCTGTTGGTGCACAGCTGCTCACTTCAAATATTTCATTACCAGGCTTACATTATCACTGCAATCACTTCTATAATATAAATGCCACAACAATGGATTTATGTTTATACCTGAATATTAATGAGTACCTGCAAACAATCCATTTCGATTAATAAGGGTAGAGTGTATTAATAGGCTATTAATTCCAATGTCTGAGCTTGCAGTCATTTCAAAATGAGCATTTCCTTAAGGAGGTTTCATTCAATAATATGAAAAAACAGACTTGGTTGCATTGATTTAATCAATGAGAACGCAAACAGGTTATTACATGCTTTGATCATTCATGAATGCAGAAGGCACGACATAAAATTGGCACCAGCAAAACGGCATTAGCCTCATCGATATCCTCAATGTTTGATAATATGCTAAAACGCTCTTAAATAAAACTGGGGGAAATCATTATTTGGTGTCTTTATTGAGATTGTAAATCTCTAAATGATCGAATTAGTTTTGAAATGCATATAATACAAAATAAAAGTTGGTGCTTATTCGATATAGAACCCAAGTTTGACTATACGAGGAAGTCGCGGCTAAATATATATTTATATATCAACATTTTGCGCAGTAGAAGAGGGATGCACAGAAGCCCACTTACATGGACGTGATGTTCCTGAAGAGCTCTTCAATGTCATTATTGTTACTGCCATTGCTCGCCGGATCTTGTAGAGCAAGTAAAGGGAAGAAATTTCCACTGTCGGACTTATTGCAATATATCTCAATGGGCGAACAGCTGCATGTTAGTGGACAATCGAGCATGGAGCTCCAATAACCCTGGAAGATGCTTGAAAGAAAGAGAAGCCTCCAGGTGAACACTGGAACCGCTGAACAGAACCATACATCCATGACTTTTGGGTCCAAAACGACTCGACGTCTTCCAGGGCTGATGAGGATGGTGATGTTGAAGATCGCTAATGAAGATATGAGTGTTAAATGTCTAAACGCCTTGGCTACATAAGAGTGCGCGCGAATGGGAACATCATATGAGGTTGGAATCGTGATCTGGTCGCCTTATCAAAAGAACAAGTGTAAATGCCACAACTCGCCTCGACTTTCCGTTCCACAGTCCATCATAGAGATGCTCTCAGTGTCCAAGCCGGAGGAAAGTACTGCTGAAAGCGACGATGCTCCGGAAGACGAGTATAAAGTCCCACCTACTGGACAGAATTAAGACTGACACCTGCAAGAGGAGGAGGAGGAATCAGATTCCCGACCAACAAAGGCTTTTATGTAAGACCACTGCGCAGAAAAAAAGTATTGCGTTTATTCCAGTTTCATTAGTGATGCGTTTTCTTTCCCCTAAAATTAGTTATGTTCAAGTCGTTTTCTGTCGTTGATTTTGTGTCATGGTTTTAGTATGCATACTACACTGGAAATTGATTTGTCAAGTAGGAAAAACCGGGGCTATAGTTGTCACATGAGGAAGTTTTCATAAAGTTCAATTACACAAATGCTTTTCTTTGTAGCCTATTTTTGGTTTCAAAGTCTGACATATATTCAAACGAGATTTTGACTGCAGATTCAAGTGTGTTCTCAGCAAAAAAAAAAAAAAAAGGTATTTTCCTAAATAATAATAGTGGCATTCTTATTTTTTTAGTAGGCCCAAACCCTGAAAAGATTCGTTCAAAAAATAATTTCCTTAGTATTTTTATTATTTATGGAAAGAAACCATATTAAAAAAAAAGTTGAAGAGTTGAATTGACATGTTCAGATCACATTACTGGCCAAACACTATACGTAAGCCCTGCTATTGAACACTTTTGTTTGTGTTTTATTGTGAATAGTACATTTTAACAATGTCAGCATAACAGGACAAGTCTAAGAAGAATTTTAAAAAAAAAAACTGGACTAAAAACAACTAGCTCCATTCTTTATTCTGTTTTAGTTTTATGATTTTACTTTAAAAACCATGCACATTTCAACTTTTATTAATGAGTTTACCCATAGACTTCCATTGCAAGTGCATTACCGTAAACACGCTTTTTGATTGTTTTTGTAAATTAACATTAGTCTGAATTATTGTCCAAATTGTTGTACTTTAACCTAAAAAAATTGTTTCATGTGGTATAGCTTCCATTGAAATAACCTGCTTTTATTCCAATGTGACTGTATCAATCTGACGACGTTGAGTTACATCAATAAAAGTCACTTTAATGGTCAGATCAGGTATAAATAGCTTCTAGTTGCTACTATATGAAGTGACTCCTACGTGGAATTTCATGCAGTCTGCAAGCTCATTATTTATTATGAAGTCATGGGGTACATCAAAATAATTCATTTAAAATACATTACATATTATTCAACACATTCTATTAAACGTGTCAGTGTATACCAGATTAGTGCTAATTGTTGTCTATGAGCAAAGAGAGGAGAACAGGCCTAATTGTAACACTGTTTGGTTTTTCCTTGCTTACTCAGACTATATGCAAACACACAGCAAGCAAGACAAACAAGTCGATAAGGAAAATGCATATTTTAATCATTTTTAAACCCCAGAGAGACTTTTTTTTAAATGCATGATGACATCAGTGAAATACAACTAGTATAAAATATATCCTTCGTGCACTTTTCATAAAAACAGTTATGGCAATGTATTCTGGGTTGCCCTCTGAGTATTGCAGTACTTGACCCACTTAAATTAGCTTTCACAGCTGAAAGCTCAATCGCTGAATGGTGTGTTGTCTTGCATTTCAAGTTACAGCATCTTGACATAATAGAATCTGAATTTGTTTTGTACTGATTTATTTTATTTTATTATTATTATTATTCCAGTTACTGGTCCCCATTGACTTCCATAATATGGAAAAATACTATGGAAGTCAATGGGGACCAGCAACTGTTTGGTTACCAACATTCTTAGAATATCTTCTCTCGTGTTCAGCAGAAGAAAGAAATTCATACAGGTTTGGAACAACTTGAGAGTGAGTAAATGATGACAGAATTTTCATTTTTGGGTGAGCTGTCCCTTTAAATTCAATATACCACAAGCCTTGATGATTTGGTTTTTACACCATTGAATCCATCCACACCCCCTGGTGCTGGTCTGAAAACCACAGCTAGACTAAAGCGCGCATCATCTGTTCAGCAGGAAGAATCACTGGTTGTGCCCTGTGCTTTATTGTTAAAATCCCGGAAAAGGACAGGCAAGACCATCAGTGACCCTCTCACCCTGATCATTAAATTTTTAAGCAGTGCCTTCCAAGTGAAGAATCACTGGTTGTGCCCTGTGCTTTATTGTTAAAATCCCGGAAAAGGACAGGCAAGACCATCAGTGACCCTCTCACCCTGATCATTAAATTTTTAAGCACTGCCTTCCAAGTAATTCAGAGCAATCAATGCAAAAACAACCAGGTACAAAAATAACCCTCAGGAGAAATGTAAATACACTTGACAAAAAAAAATTTTTTGTATTCTGGAAACACTTTTGACTTCTGCAGCTGCGTCCAGCACTCTATTGATTTATTGTTGATTTGGGGAGTATTATATTATATTATTCGGAATTCAGTCCAATTTGGGATATTTAATTACAGTTTGTTTACAGTTGTTTCAGACCAACATTCCCCCTAACTGGATGCCAAAAGCAGTGTGCCTTCATTTGTGAAAATATTTTAGTGATGCTTATGAGAGTCCTGCCCAAAGAAAACCCTCAGAAAATGAATATGGTGTGCTAGATCGTAAATGAGAACTGTATGTGTTATGAGTACAGCTATTTAATTTGGCCAACTTTTTATACTATTAAAAATGTGACTTCTTCTTAAACAAATTTGACAGTACCGTGATTATTGAACACTGTGATTAAACTATACTAAAAAGAGACATCTCTCTTGCTCTCTTTCTTTTCAATGTTGTTGGGTCTCGTCAACGTTATGTGTGTTGCTAGCCTTTCCTCTGTTTGGATTTACCTTCTGTTGATTTATTAAAGACTGCCTATCTTCATCATCGTGTTCGTGTGTGTTTATCAACACAGTAGTGTGACTTACACATTATCCTCCAAATCACCTGTTTGAGGACTGGCTGTCATTTTAAACTGCCATCCTCTCTGGACTGAGTAGTTATCCAATCAATCAAACAGTCGATCTTCTCCATCTGTGATGGCACCACATTTTAAGCCTCAGGTAAAAAGGTTCCAATATGTTCCTTATCAACATGTAATGGATTTGGAAAATTATGGCATAAAGCTAACAAAGACTTCACCTTTTAATAATTGAGACATTTATTGATCTGCTGTAGTTGAAATGTAATTTGAATGCTCATTCAACAAGCAGACTACAATGTGTTGCGAATATTGTGTTATAAATGTCACATGCTATATATAAATATAAATGCTATATATGTGACATTTTACACAAATTGGATACAAATTAATGTCCCATAAATTAAGAGTCATAAATTCTATGGAGATGTTATATGAACTTTTAACTATAAAATTAACGTAACATGAAAAGTAGAAATCTGTACCACTTTCCTTTCCCCTCAAAATGTTAATTTTTGACCTTCTTGACTGTATGCAAAAATTTAAATCATGAAATGGTATTATAAATTTCTATTTTGTTCAATTAAAATTCAGTAATTCATTGAAAAATATTCTTACTCATTTTAATTAATTTGATAAAAAATATTATTTGCCTGTAGCCCACATACATGCTTAAAAAATATTTAGGTCTAAATTTAAAATGTATGTATTTGAATTGCATATAGTTTTTAACATTAGTTTACATTACAGTTTTAACAAACTACTTCATGTGATGCATATTTGTCAGTCATACACAAATGAAATGGAGATTTCTGTAATAATACTTATAACTGAATTTGTTTTAAATACACAATATTCTTTCAGTCTCATACATTTTAACTAATTGCTTGCTTTTTCCACAGTTAGCCATTTTTTAACCACGTTAATAGTTTTTAGCTTAATACATTTAAATGTTTTCATTGAACAAATTTATGCTGATTCTAAGCTATTTTAGTAAATAAAATCAAATAGATGCAAAAAGATGATAAACTTTCCTTTTTTTAGTGCAGAAATCATACCTTTTTCAATTACTGTATGTATGACTGGCAAATATGTATCACAAATATGCATTTATGGTAAAACAGTGTAAACCAAATGGATGGAAATTTTATATGCAATATAAATCTTAAATGTAGGTGTTTTTTTTTTTTTTTGCATGCAACCTGTTACAGCACAAATGTCCCCGATTAAAAAAAAAAAAAAAAAGGAATATTGCATAAATTTGTGACCCCCAGGAAGTGACATCAGTGGGAACCTTTCTGTATAGAAGCTCAACCATTTAAACCTGTCACCAAGGTTACTGAAAGAAAAATGATCAACCATGTAAAGAGAAAAGATAAAGCACATGAACAAACAATACATTCTGAAGGCTAAAGCTAGTTGAAAAAGGAGCCTGATTTTGTATGCTGTTCATGGATAATGTCATGTGTGGCACGAGGTAAATATGTGATTTGTTCAAATTGCCTCCACGGGTAGATTATTACAAGATCACTGTGGAACCAGAGCTGTTGAAGCACTCAACGTGCACAGAATGTGTTGATTCGTTTTTTTGAACTCATTTCAGAGGTGAGCTTTTGTTTGTCCTAAAAACTTTGATCTGCTTTTGTTCTTATCTCGTTCACAGGTGCCAAAACAAAAAATAAAGTGCACTATTTTAGATGAGACATGCACTCTGGATGTCTCTGGAAAACCCTTCACTTAATGGAAATGAAACCCACTTTCATCAAACATCCATTAGAGTAGCGCTTTGCCTTGTATTACATCACGTGGATTGGGTTGGAGGGGGGTATTGTTCTATAGAATCCAAAATCCCCATGAGTCTGACAACTTTTGAGGGATTACACATGCCGTTATGAAGTTCTCTACCAGAAACTTCATCAAACGCTCACTTTCCCAGCAGGTTGCCCATGGGAGACGAGTCTCTGTCATAGTGCGCTTAGATCATCAGATATCTCACAGTGTTTAATCAGTGTCTCTATATAAATCAGATGGTCAAGCAAGACAATACCAAAGGAGGCTCGTCGTCCCCATCAGCAAGACAGAAGTTTAATAAAACAACCGCAAACTTAAACTTAAACTTAAACTTACTGTGA